AAAATTAGATGTAGTTGCAGGTCTGTGTGTGTATATCACTGTATGTTTGAAGCTCAAATATGGAAATTTCATGCAAAGTCGAAATAAATATTATTCATACAACAATTATATCGTTCACATTCAATTATGAGAATTTCCTCTTAATTAGGTGGGAATGAGTCTCTGATTGCATGGTGGTGGCTCGTCTGCAAAGTTGAAATGGAATGTGCATGGTGGCTCGTTCTCTCTAGCAAAGTTTAAAGATGAGTCTTGTTGGGTGCCAATGCATGGGTAATTTAAGTTAATATGAGTTGGTTTCACAAAACATATCAACAGCGGCATACATGTGAGTGGCCACGTGGATTAATCGTCCATGTCAGCAGCATATATTAAGATTTTCAGGTCCACGTCATATTTCCATCCAAAGTAACAGCAAGAATTAACGGCAGGACGAAAACTACTAAAAAAATGGCATGTTTAGGGACGAATAATGTCACTCCAACTAATTTAGGGACGAAAAACGAATAAGTGGTAAAGTATAAGGACGAAAAATGTAATTATCCCTCATTTTCTGATGCAGAGTTTACGAGCTTCATCAATGGAAGATGTCATGTTTAAAAAAAATTAAAGAGTGATAAGTGTGTGATTAAGCCTTAATTATTTTCTTAATCACAGCAACTAATTAAAACGGTCGTTTATAAAACGGGCTCAATGGTATAAAAGTCAGCGGCCCTTTTCTTATTGGGCTTTATCTTGCATATTTATGGGGCTTGGGTTTATTCATAAATATTATAATATTCAAATCATGGGCTAAGATTAAATAATTCGAATTCGGCTTATCGCGTAAATCCTACCATTCTCGCACGCAAGACGCGTGCATAAATTGGAATGGATTTTCGAATTTCGTCGATTACGATTTAATATTGATTTTGAAATAATATTTTCATTTGAATTTTGAATTTGCGCAACCCTCCCGCGATGTTTTTTAAAGTAACTAACTCACCTAACTCTTCACCCCTACAAGTTATTTTTCACTTTAGTTGTGTTATATTTATTTTATATTAATCTTAATTATTTTAAATTTTACTCCTACAAAATCGTAAACAACCATAGTCATTCGAATTGGGTGGAGGTTTGTGTTTTATCTTTTATTATAAACTTATTATTAAATTCATATTCATATATTTATATTGTGTATGATAATATATTTATGAATATATATAATTTAAAATGATATATTTACTCCCTTAATCACTTCAAATTGAAAAAAAAAACAAAAAGAATACACACACACACACAAATAA